TTACAGGAATGGAAATTTGGACGACGGATTGGATCACGATTCCAGTTATGAGATGTATTGTGTTGTCTATTGTTGTGTCAATATTGTATATTATGCTTTTATGGTTTTAAACTGTATATCGTTGATTGTTTTTTATCCTTGTTGTAAACCGTGTTGAGTCGCCTGTTGGGCTGAGAAACTGCGGTATACAAGTAGAGTAAATAAATAAATAACTGTATTAAGGGGTCGCGGCATTTGGAAGGTTGAGAAACACTGCTCTAGAACATGGCCATATAGCCCGAAAAAACCTACAACACAGTGATTCAGGCCATGAAAGCCTTCGACAATACACTTCCTCAACCTTTTTGAGGCTGCAGACACAGGAAAGAGCCAAACCGGAAAGGGAGCTGGCGTAGGGCGGGGCTTCCGGCGTCCCCTGCCCTCTAGCGCCGGGTACCTTCTACTGCCGCCTCCTTTCCGGCCTCCTTCCTCAGGGAGGGGCGGTCACGTGCCGGGGGCGTGAGCGAAGCCCCGGCCTCTAAGGTCACATGACAGGGGCGCGGGCCCGGGTTGCTGCCGCCGCCTCTGCTGCTGCTCGGGGAGGGGGCCCGGAGCCTGACTGACTGACTGACTCACTCACCATGGTAAGGGAGCCTGTGGGGTGTGGAGAGGCCCAGGCGGCTCTTACCGCCTCCTAAGGCCGTGGAGGCCCGCTGTCGGGTGAAGGGAGCGGAGGAGGCTTCCTCCTTCTCCCTGGCTTCYTCTGTCAGGCGAGCCGGGCCTTGTCTTCGGCCGCCCGTCTCCATGGAGACGGGACCCTCTCGMCTCCCCCTCCCCCCCCGGACCAACGGCTCTTTCTGAGCGCGCGCGAGGGGCTGCCATTGGTCCCCCCTTTCTCTTCCTTCTTCCACGCGCTCGCCCCGCCTCCCTAGCTGGCGTCACGGAGAGCAGCGCGCGCCGGGGGGGGGGGGAGTGAGACTTTACAGCGACCAGATAGTTGAGGTCTCCCTTCAGGAAAGCAGGGGTGCAAATGGTGCCTCTACGCTGCTGAATGAATGCAGTCTGACCCCACGTTGACCGCCATAGCTGAGTGCTATGGAATCCTGGGAGTTCTCACTGTGCAAGGCCTTCAGCCTTCTCTGATAAAGAGTGCTCCTGCCTCCCTCTGAAAACTATGACTGCCACGATTCCATAGCAGTGACCCGTGGCAGTTAAAGTGGAGCCGAACTGCATTAATACTACCGTGTATCTATGTATTGTCGAAGGCTTTCATGGCTGGAATCACTAGGTTCTTGTAGGTTTTTTCGGGCTATAGGGCCATGTTCTAGAGCAGTGGTTCTCAACCTTCCTAATGCCGCGACCCCTTAGTACAGGTCCTCATGTTGTGGTGACCCCCAACCATAACGTTATTTTCGTTGCTACTTCATAACTTTAATTTTGCTACTGTTATGAATCGTAATATAAATATCTGATATGCAGGATGTATTTTCATTCACTGGACCAAATTTGGCACAAATACCCAAAACACCCAAATTTGAACACTGGTGGGGTTGGAGGGGATTGATTTTGTCATTTGGGAATGTTGGAATTGCTGGGATTTATAGTTCACCTAAAATCAAAGAGCCTTTTGAACTCCATCAATGATGGAATTGAATCAAACTGGGCACACAGAATTCCCATGGCCAAGAGAAATACTGGGAGAGTCTGGTGGACACTGACCTTGAGTTTTTGGAGTTGTGGTTCACCTATATCCATAGAACACTGTGGACTCAAACAGTGATGGATCTGGATCAAACTTGGCACAATATACCCAAATGTGAACACTGGTAGAGTTTGGAGAAAATAGACCTTGCCATTTGGGAGTTGTAGCTGCTGGGATTCATAGTTCACCCACAATGAAATAGCATTCTGAACCCCACCAATGATAGAATTGGACCAAACTTCCCACACAGAACACCCATGACAAAGAGAAAATACTATGTTTTCTGATGGTCTTTGGTGACCCCTTTGACACCCCCTCTCGACCCCCAGGTTGAGAACCACTGTTCTAGAGACATTTCTCCTGACGTTTCGCCTGCATCTATGGCAAGCATCCTCAGAGGTAGTGAGGTCTGTTGGAACTAGGAAAATGGGTTTATATATCTGTGGAATAACTGGGGTGGGGCAAAGAGCTCTCTGCTGAAGCTAGGTGTGAATGTTTCAGCTGACCACCAGATGCAGGCGAAACGTCAGGAGAAATGCCTCTAGAACATGGCCCTATAGCCCGAAAAAACCTACAAGAACCTACCGTGTATCTATCTATATAAATAAAAATAAAATATTCGTTTGTGGGATTAACATAACTCAGAAACCACTGGACGAATTGACACCAAATTTGGACACAATACACCTATTACGCCTACTTCTTGTGTCCAAATTCCCGCTTCTTGGCAGGGGGTTGGACTGGATGGCCTCTTGGACAGTGGTTCTCAACCTGGGGTCCCCAGATGTTTTTGGCCTTCAACTCCCAGAAATCCTAACAGCTGGTAAACTAGCTGGGATTTCTGGGAGTTGTAGGCCAAAAACATCTGGGGACCCCAGGTTGAGAACCACTGGCCCATGAGGTCTCTTCCAACTCTTTGATTCTATGATTCTATTTATTTGTTGTGTCAGGGCAACCAGTCAATTATATTACATTTCTAACAGAACAAAGCAAACAAACAGACAAAATACAAAATTTGTGAGTTTGGTAGTTGATTAAATGTCCTTTGACCAGTATCTGGCCACTTGGAGTGCTTCTGGTGTTGCTGCAAGAAGGTCCTCCATTGTGCATGTGGCTGGGCTCAGGTTGCATTGCAGCAGGTGGTCAGTGGTTTGCTCTTCTCCACACTCGCATGTCGAGGATTCTACTTTGTGGCCCCATTTCTGAAGGTTGCCTCTACATCTTGTGGTGCCAGAGCACAGTCTGTTCAACACCTTCCAAGTCGCCCAGCCCTCTGTGTGCCCAGGAGGGAGTCTCTCATTTGGTATCAGCCATTGGTTGAGGTTCTGGGTTTGAGCCTGCCACTTTTGGACTCTCACTTGCTGAGGTGTTCCAGCGAGTGTCTTTGTAGGATCTTAGAAAACTATGTCTAGATTTAAGTCGTTGGCGTGCTGGCTGATACCCAAACAGAGGATGAGCTGGAGATGTCTCTGCCTTGGTCCTTTCACTATTGGCTGCTACTTCCCGGCGGATGTCAGGTGGTGCAATACCGGCTAAGCAGTGTAATTTCTCCAGTGGTGTAGGGCGCAGACACCCCGTGATAATGCGGCATGTCTCATTAAGAGCCACATCCACTGTTTTAGTGTGGTGAGATGTGTTCCACACTGGGTATGCATACTCAGCAGCAGAGTAGCATAGCGCAAGGGCAGATGTCTTCACTGTATCTGGTTGTGATCCCCAGGTTGTGCCAGTCAGCTTTCGTATGATATTGTTTCTAGCACCCACTTTTTGCTTGATGTTCAGGCAGTGCTTCTTGTAGGTAAGAGCACGGTCCAGAGTAACTCCCAGGTATTTGGGTGCGCTGCAGTCCTCCAGTGGGATTCCTTCCCAGGTGATCTTCAGAGCTCGGGATGCTTCTCTGTTCTTGAGATGAAAGGCACATGTCTGTGTTTTAGATGGGAATCATGACTGCCATGATTCCATAGCAGTGACCCGTGGCAGTTAAAGTGGAGCCGAACTGCATTAATACTACCGTATATCCCAGCGTTTCTCAACCTTCCTAATACCACGACCCCTTAATACAGTTCCACATGTTGTGGTGACCCCCAACCGTAACATTATTTTCGTTGCAACTTCATAACTGTAATTTTGCTACTGTTATGAATTGTAATGTAAATATCTGATATGCAGGATGTATTTTCATTCACTGGACCAAATTTGGCACAAATACCCAATACGCCCATTTGAATACTGGTGGGGTTGGGGGGGGGGGATTGATTTTGTCATTTGGGAGTTGTAGTTGCTGGGATTTATAGTTCACCTATAATCAAAGAGCATTCTGAACTCCCATCAACGATGGAATTGAACCAAACATGGCACACAGAACTCCCATGACCAACAGAAAATACTGGAAGGGTTTGGTGGGCATTGACCTTGAGTTTTGGAGTTGTAGTTCACCTACATCCAGAGTGCACTGTGGACTCAAACAATGATGGATCTGGACCAAACTTGGCACAAATACTCAATATGCCCAAATATGAACACTGGTGGAGTTTGGGGGAAATAGACCTTAACATTAGGGAGTTGTAGTTGCTGGGATTTATAGTTCACCTACAATAAAGGAGCATTCTGAACCCCACAAACAAGAGAATTGGGACAAACTTCTCACACAGAACCCAGATGACCAACAGAAAATACTCTGTTTTCTGATGGTCTTTGGTGACCCCTCTGACACCCCCTTGTGACCCCCTCAGGGGTCCTGACCCCCAGGTTGAGAAACACTGGTATATCTAAATAAATAAAAACGTAATGTTCGTTTGTGGGATTAACGGAACTCAAAAACCACAGGACGAATTGTCACCAAATTTGGAAAACATACACCTAACAACCTTCACTCAAAAAGAATTGATCTTGTCATTTGGGAGTTGTAGTTGCTGGGATTTATAGTTCACCTATAATCAAAGAGCATTCTGAACTCGAATTGGACGACTAGGACTGACAGGACTGACAAAATGGAATTGGAATTTGGACTATGAGATGGCGAACGCTGAGCGTTAATTAGGTGAAATCGGTTTTATTGGTTTTATTGTTGCAGTGCAGAAACTGATTGTTAATTGTTTAATTGCTGCTATATTGTTTTTATTCTACTGTTATGTTGATGCCGGCATCGAATTGTGCCTTTGTAAGCCGCCCTGAGTCCCCCTCTGGGGTGAGAAGTAACCAAAATAAATAATAATAATAAATAACTCCGTCAACGATGGAATTGAACCAAACTTGGTACACAGAACTCCCACAACCAACAGAAAATACTGGAAGGGTTTGGTGGGCATTGACCTTGAGTTTGGGAGTTGTAGTTCACCTACATTCAGCAGCGTAGAGGCACCATTTGCACCCCTGCTTTCCTGAAGGGAGACCTCAACTATCTGGGCGCTGTGAAGTAGACTCAAACAAGGATGGAACTGGACCAAACTCTATACAAATACTCAATATGCCAAATGTGAACACTGGTGGAGTTTGGGGAAAATAGAATCTTGACATTTGGGAGTTGTAGTTCCTGGAATTTGTAGTTCACCTACAATCACAGAGCATTCTGAATCCCACAAATGAACCTCCCACACAGAACCCCCATGACCACCAGAGTAAGCCACAACAACGTGTGGCAGGGGACAGCTAGTCTATCTATATAAATAATAATATAATATTCGTTTGTGGGATTAACATAACTCAAAAACCACTGGATGAATTGACACCAGATTTGGGCACAAGACGCCTACTACCCCAAGGAGTGACCATCACTAAAAAAAAAATGGGTTTTGTCATTTGGTATTTGTAGTTGCTGGGGTTTAAAGTTAATCTACAATCAAAGAGCATTCTGAACCCCAACAATGATGGAATTGAACCAAACTTGGGACATAGGATTCCCACAACCAACAGAAAATTCTGGAAGTGTTTGCTGGGCATTGA